AAAAAAAAAAAAGAAAGAAAAAAGGAAAGAAAAAGAAAGAAAGAAAGAAGAGCAGCATGATTCTTTTTTCTCGGTGCTAAAGCTGGAACCCAGGGCCCTGACTGTGCTGGGCAGGTGTTCTACCGTTGTTCTACACCCCTGGTCCCAGGAACATTACTTTTAGTATCATTCTCATTCATCTTTTTCTTACTTAAACTGGACAGAAAACTTTATAAGTAAGGATTCCGTGAAAGGTGGCTGAGGTAGGCTTCAGGTGCCAACTCCGCCGGCAGCCCGGTTGGACGCACACCGCACATTTCACGCTGTTGGAGGGAGGCCCAGTTCCGCCCTCCGTGTTTAAAGTCCCCCTGCCTCTTGCTTAGTTCACGGCGCTAGAAGGCAGGTCTGAAGATGGAGTTCCAACTCCACGCCACGTACGATACCACTCGTCGTGAGTGTGGCATTTTTCTCCTGCGAGAGAGGCTGAGACGTGCCTGGTGTGTTGCCGACTGGTGAGAATCAGTATGTCCTCAGGTATTAGGTAGACAGATCCCTGCTCGGCGGCCGTTGTTCCTTTTGAATTTTCTTCATATTCCCGTTAGCTGTTATCGTGCACTGGGGGAGGTGGGAGGAGGTCTCTTTCCTGCTGCGGCAGCGTGAGCAGTTATAAACACCGCCCGTCCCATCCTTCTCCTCACCTCCGCCGGGGAAATACCAGGTTTCGGGACAGCAGAACCTCAGAGGACTGCTCTCACCATTCGAGGATCGTGGAGCCCAGGCATGGAATCTACCGCAGCATGGTGGGATCGACACAAGAGCTATTCTCCGGTTCTCTGCAGAACTCATCTCTGGAACTCGGCTTATACAGCATGTAACCTTTGGAGTCTATTTTTTTTTTTTTTTTTGGTTTTTTTTTTTTTTTGTTTGTTTGTTTCCAGTACCAGGGGTTGAACTCACGACCTTGTGCTTTTTGGTCTTTTAGAGACAAGCTTTCACTATGCAGTTCAGGCCAGTCTTGAGCTCACTTTGTGGCCCAGGCTGGCCTTGAACTGGCAACAATTCTCCTGCCTCAGCCTCCTGTGTGAGTGACGGGATGACAGGCGTGCGCCATCATACCTGGGTCAGAGTCTATTTTAAGAGAGTCACTCACAAACTTCTGTCCAAACAAGTAGAAACTGTCAGAATTCACGGAAAGGTAGTGAGAAAGGTAGGCAGCACCCCTTTCCCGGGAAGATGTTGGGGACAAGACAGCCCTTGCTTTGGGTTGGCTTTGTTATGTCACGTTACTGATACAGCGGCTACTCAGCAGGTTTCTGGATGATAAGATGCGAATGCAGTGTGATCATGGAATTTCAGAATTAGCGTAAACATGGGGTGCCACGAGCATTGAACTATGAATGACTAGCTCCTTCTAGGGAAGACTTCCTTCCTGGTAGATAGCGCCTCAAGAGAGTCCTTACTGAGACACCCTAGGTAGGATCCTAACTGGTAGCAAAGGACCAACACGAACTTTGAGAAACGTGACCCACAGTACTCTACACAATGTTATTCCAATTTGGCGTGAAAAAGCTACCGAGAGAGCGCATGCTAAACTGCCAACAGTGGCTGTCTCTCTGATGATGGAAATTCAATGGCGTATAAATATTTTTTGTACACAACGAGTGTTCTACCTCAATATTCAGAAAAGGAGAAAAGCGTGTCTCGTGTTGCTTTGAGAAAAGATTTGTTTCCTCTCCGTCCTCCCTGTGTCAAGTCGAAAAACCCTATGCAGCGGAGTTTCTTTTCCCTCCCATCACCTCTCTGGAAAGTGTTGAAAGATTGCACAGGGAGCGGCAGAAAAGAGAGCTGGACAGGACTGGGAGAAGTTCAACCAGTGCAGGGACTTGAGGAAACCGAGAGGTTGTTTTTTTTTTTTTTTTTGTCCTTTTGAGACAGGGTCTCACTATGCAGTTCAGACTAGGCTTGAGCTCACTTTGTAGCCTAGGCTGGTCTCAAACTCGCAAGGATCCTCCTGCCTCAGCCTCCCGAGTACTGGGACTACAGGCGTGAGCCACCTCACCTGGCAGGTGACTCATTTTTAATACCTTGGGAAATTCACAACAGATAAAAAATTTCCCCCATAGTTGTTTGGTTTTTTGTTTTGTCTTTTTGAGACTGGGTCTCACTGAGCAATTCAGGCTGGCCTTGAGCTCATTTTGTAGCCCAGGCTGGCCTCGAACTCACAACGATCCTCCTGCCTCAGCCTCCCGAATGCTGGGATTACAAGCATACGCCACCATGCCCGGGGTGTCCCCCATAGTTACACTAACATGTTGGCATTTATCCGACCAACGCTATTTTCTATGGATGGTACTACTTTGCATATCTGTAACCTAACTGTACATATAATTCTGTATTATTCACTTGTTTAATATAGAGCATGGTACACCAAAAATGTCTATGTGTAAACATATCAGCATTTTTTGATACATTACAGAGTGATTTTTCCAAAAAAGCAGTGCTCTTTTATACTTATAACTGTGTATAGGGGTCTTATCGATGTTTTTAATTTGTAATTTCTAAAAACACTACCTCTTTAGTGAAGCAATTGTAGTGTACCAATTTTTTTTTTTGTCTTTTTGAGACTGGGTCTCATTGTGCTATTCAGGCTGGCCTTGAGCTCACTTTGTAGCACAAGTTGGCCTCGAACTCCCAAGGATCCTCCTGCTTCAGCCTCCCGAGTGCTGGGATTACAGGCGTGCGCACCACGCCCGGCTTAGACTAGGCACTGTAAAAGCCAAGCGGGGTGTAGTGTACCATTATTAAACCTCAGCGAGAGCCCAAACCAGAACTGCTTTAGGGTCTCTGTGGTAGAAGTGTTTACCATCCCATCTTACAGTGGGTTCCAGACAATGAAAGTAACACAGACTTATCACACAAACTAGACAAGGCCACGCATTGCCAGCTACCGTGGGTCACACCCCGCACACCGGAGTGACAACAGGGGGCCGGGAAGGAGTAGATGAGCGCAGCCTCGGCCTGCTCTCTCTCTTGGGGTCGACATGAGTCTTAAACTCTCTGAATCTAGGAGGGGCTGTCGTGGCTTTCCTGGGTGGACCCATCCAGACTTGGCCTTGGCTTGGCCTTGCCTTGTGTGCCTGGCAAATTACGGAGGGGAGGACAGAGAGATGTGGAGAACGTTCACTCGATCACACTGTGAGCCGGAGTGTATTGTCGGATTCATATGAAATAGCGACATAAAATACCCCTGAGTGCCAGGGCTGACTTTTATGGCTCCTGTGGGAGAATCTGGAGCTTTATCTCCGCGTGGAAAATGAAGAGCGCTTACCTCTCCCCGCAGGCTGTGCTGGCTGCTATTGTTCTGAGCAATGTCATTCCCTACCTTCAAGTCATTTACAACCTCCCCAGCCTGTGGAGGCAGGACCAGTACGACTGTGTGAGTACCAAAGCCCCGGCCCAGGAAGGGGAGGGAGGACCGCAGGCAGGGCTGGGGCGGGAGAAAGAAGGTAAGCAGGAGACCAGGCACAGGCCGAAAGAGTGCCAGCAGCGCTGATGCTCGGTCCTCTTTTTTTTTTTTTCAAAGGAGAGTTGGGGGGCTGGGGATTTAGCTCGGCGGCACAGTGCCTGCCTGGCAGGTGCAAGGTCATGAGTTCGATTCCCGGTACCAGAAAAAAAAAAAAAAAAAAAAAAAAGGAGAGTCGGTACATGGAAACATGGAGACCTCCTTCCAACTATGCAAAATGAAATGAAATGAAATGGAGAGGCTACAGGTAACTAGCATTCAAAATTAAGTCATTCAAACACACAATGGATGACGAGAC